GAGAATGTTTGGTGAATGTCAGATATACAGCTTTAAAGATATGCCCCAATACACGAGGTCTACCGATGGCCCACACTATCAATCACAGCATGATTCATGCCATTGCGTTGACGGTTGGACAGGAATAAAATACGCCGTGATTACAAATCATTAGTTAAACAAAGGCCTCACTTTCCATGCTGTGTTTACGATCAATAAATGTAATAATCTTATATCTTGTAGTCCTGCAGAATCCGTCATTCACATTTACGGATCATGAAGCGCAGGATCTTCCCTGAGACAATAAACAGTCGAAAGAATACAGCGACTAACTCCCAAAGGGAGATAAAAACAACAGAGCAGTGATTAAATGTAATAAATCATAGGGCAGGGAGGAAGCGTACACGCTAATGAAAATAGAAAAGGTCCTACCACCTCATTCTGTGATTTAAAGGGTAACACCGGGCAAACAGCTACACAGCTAAAACAGGTAGATAGAAAATGTTTTTTCTGTAAAAAGGTTTTTTGAAATAATGCACATGCTCACTTGCTGTGCTATGGCCTCATTCACAAGGACATTTTGAGATTCAAACCTGCTGTAAATGTAAAAATCCTAGTGTGTTTCCATGGCCCGGGGAGCCGCAGGTGGCACATAGAGCCTGCCATAGAAGTGAATAGTTGTATATAGTACTCAGGTAAACGCAGATGCTTTGGTGTATTGCAACTTACCTGTGCATGTTCATATGACCTGTTCCACCAACGCAAATCTTCCACATTCTGGGAATACGTCTGCAGCACCTTCCTAGCATAGGGTGCTAGCTAAATTTAGTTTGGCTCCTTCTGTAATCAAGGGAACAGTTGTTTGTTCTGGCCTGTTCATGGCTTCATGAACTGGGAGTTTGATTGCTTCCCCCTTTGGAAGAAGCTTCCAGAGCTTACGGCAGGACATTCAAAACAACCAGCCAGAATATTTATCATGATCAAGCCAATCCCTGGAGAGGAGTGTCAGAAAGGGGCTGGAATGATGATAAATAGTCTGAGACACTGGGGAGCAGGATTCATTCTCCCCAGGAGGGTTTCATAGCCAGGGGAGTAGCCTGCTGCACTTAGCAGCCCATAGACTGTACAGCTGCTTTAGAGGCCTCAGCAGTGACAGAGCTGAGGGCCTGGATGGACCCTATGTGAAGCTGTTTGCAGAACATCTCACTCACTGGACCATGTCCGAAAGAAGCCAGAAAGTGGTAGCTGTTCTGGGGGCTTTGAGTAATGACCCTGAACTAATCCCTAAACTAATGCCTGTGCCTTTGAAGTGCTCTGGGAACTGCACTGGGCACCAACAGTTTGCATCAGCACAAAGTACCCAGCTCCCATGGGCTTCAGCTGTGGGAGTTTAGACTGTTTGACACTCCTGTTCTCTGATCACTAAAAGCCAAAAGTTTTAGAGTATCCCATGCCCTACTCTCTGTCCCTAGTTAACATTCTTCAAGCAGTAAAATACGATAAATGACAACCCTTAGACTGATTAATTGCAGTCTCTGTACATTTAGGGAAAAACAGTTATTACCAGCGGCCCCATCAGAGGTAGAGCTACATGTCATACATAGATGTGTGGGTAAGCTTCCCAAAGGGATCCATGGGGCCATCTTCCAAAGCAGAGCCTGCTCAAGAGACAGCCCCATAGAACCTTATGGGAAGCTACTGCTGGAATAGCAGTGGGATGCAAACAAACCCAAAATTGCATGGCACATATGTATCTGGGGATGGGAGCTATCTTGGCACAGTGGGGGCAAAAAGGATAAGTGCAGTTTGTTTATCCTTTAAGGCAACAAGGTCGGGTGTTTTAAAAATTCATATTAAAGGTGCCTGCAATAAAAGAATATTTATAGTCACCTATCTGGGTCTGGGTCTCCTACTGTCCCTCCATTTCAGGGTTGCACCTTCTATCAGACTCTAAGGCATTCAACACTACAGGAGTTTCAGATGCTTTTTGTCTTCCACTACGTACCGTAATTCCATCTTTCGATCCATATGTCACTGTATGACTTAGCAGTGAAATAGGGGTCAGAGGATAGAACCACAGCATGTGTTGGGGGGCGAAGGTATCCAACACCCCTGGAAGAGTGTTATGGAGGCTGCAGCTATGAAACAAGGAAAGGGAAGGTAGAAGAAGGTATAAATGACTTTTCCTGTGAAATGATAAAAAAAAAAAAAAACCTCTATAAAAAGACCCTGTTTACAGACCATTCATTTCAACTACAATCTTCTCATTATATTTTATGTGCATTTAATGTATTTTATTCATGTCATTTGCCTCTAAAAGCTTCCTTTTTGTAGACATTCAAAAGCCCTAAGACTGCTGCACAGTGGTGCCATCCTGGATGTGATGTCAACAGCACCAGTAGACTCAAAGCTGTCACTCAGGTATGGTATTCTCCTTCTCTGCTCTGCTGGCAGCTACATAAAAGCTTATGCAGGTAGGTGAGTTAAGAAGGAGCTGGGCCACCACAGATAGAGTCTCCGATGAGAAGAGGACTATGCCATACAGTGCCTTGCAGAAGTATTCATACCCCTTGAAATTTTCCACATTTTGTCATGTTACAACCAAAAAGGTAAATGTATTTTATTGGGATTTTATGTGATAGACCAACACAAAGTGGCACATTATTGTGAAGTGGAAGGAAAATAATAAAAATGGTTTTCAAATTTTTTTTACAAATAAATATGTGAAAAGTGTGGAGTGCATTTGTATTCAGCACCCTTTACTTTGATACCCCTAACTAAAATCTAGTGGAACCAATTGCCTTCAGAAGTCACCAAATTAGTAAATAGAGTCCACCTGTGTGTAATTTAAATACAGCTGTTCTGTGAAGCCATCAGAGGTTTGTTAGAGAACATTAGTGAACAAACAGCATCCTGAAGTTTAAAGCTAGGTTCACACCTATGCAGGTTGCATTTGATACATTTCTGCATTGTGTTTTGCACTTGTTTTTTTATGCATTTTTTCCATTTTTTTATTTTTCTTGTTGCTAGGCATTTTAAATGTAAAATGCATCAAAAACGTGGCAAAAACACAATACATGCTTTTCTGCAGCTTTACTATTGAAGTCTATAGAACCAAAAATGCAACATTTTGCATTCAAAAAAGTCTTTGACCCTTTCCAAAAAATGCACCAGGTGAAAACGCAGAGATGTGAACCTGTCCCATAGGAAATCATGTTAAATGGACTGTACTGTGTTTCTGCAAAATGCTGCAGAAAACGCTTAGGTGTGAACCTGGGGTAAAGCAGGGTTAAGTTATTAAAAATATCCCAAGCTTTGAACATCTCATGGAGCACTGTTCAATCCATCATCTGAAAATGGAAAGAGTATGGCACAACTGCAAACCTACCAAGACATGGCCGTCCACCTAAACTGACAGGCCGGGCAAGGAGAGCATTAATCAGAGAAGCAGCCAAGAGGCCCATGGTAACTCTGGAGGAGCTGCAGAGATCCACAGCTCAGGTGGGAGAATCTGTCCACAGGACAACTCTTAGTCATGCACTCCACAAATCTGGCCTTTATGGAAGAGTGGGCAGCACAGTGGCTAAATGGTTAGCACTTCCGCTTGGCAGTACTATGGGTTGTTGGTTCGAATCCCAGCCATGGCACCTCCTGCCTGGAGTTTGCATGTTATCCCTGTGCCTGCATGGGTTTCCTCCAGGTGCTCCGGTTTCCTCCCACACTCCAAAGACATGCTGCTAGGCTAACTGGCTCCTGTCTAAATTGTCCCTAGAATGTACAGTATGTGTATGTATGAATGTAAGTTAGGGACCTTAGATTGTATTCCCCTTGAGGGTTAGGGACTGATGTGAATGTACAATATATATATGTAAAGTGCTGCGGGAATTGACGGTGCTTTATAAGTACCTGAAATAAATAAATAAGAAGAAAGCCATTGTTGAAAGAAAGCCATAAGAAGTCCCATTTGCAGTTTGCAAGAAGCCATGTGGGGGACACAGCAAACATATGGAAGAAGGTGCTCTGGTCAGATGAGATCAAAACTGAACTTTTTGGCCTAAAAACAAAACACTGTGTGGCGAAAACGAACACTGCACAACACCCTGAACACACCATCCCCACCGTGAAACATGGTGGTGGCAGCATCATGTTGTGGGGGTGCTTTTCTTCAGCAGGTACAGGGAAGTTGGTCAGAGTTGATGGGAAGATGGATGGAGCCAAATACAGGTCAATCTTAAAAGAAAACCTGTTAGAGTCTGCAAAAGACTTGAGATTGGGGTGGAGGTTCACCTTCCAGCAAGACAACAAACCTAAATATATAGCCAGAGCTACAATGGAATGGTTTAGATCAAAGCATATTCATGTGTTAGAATGGCCCAGTCAAAGTCCAGACCTAAATCCAATTGAGAATCTGTGGCAAGACTTGAAAATTGCTGTTCACAGACGCTCTCCAGCCAATCTGACAGCTTGAGCTATTTTGCAAAGAAACATGGGAAAAAATTCACTCTAGATGTGCAAAGCTGGTAGAGACATCCCCAAAAAGACTTGCAGCGTAATTGTAGTGAAAGGCGGTTCTACAAAGTATTAACTCAGGGGGGCTGAATACAAATGCACGCCACACTTTTCACATATTTATTTGTAAAAAACTTTGAAAACTATTTATCATATTAAAAAGTTTTTTTCTTAGTTTTTGTTATAACATTTTGTAAATAAGTGATTTTTCTCCTTCACTGATGTGCACTAATGGGGCTGCAGTGATGGGCACTGATAGGCTGCAATGATGGACACTGATAGGTGGCACTGATGGGCACTGATGAGAAGGCACTGGTAGGTGGCACTGATGGGCATTGATAGGCATCACTGATGGGCACTGAAAGGCAGCACTGACATATGGCACTGATAGGCGGCACTAATAGGCGGCACTGACTGGCACTGATAGGTGGCACTGACTGGAACTGATAGGCGGCACTGATAGGCGGCACTGATGCATACTGATAGGCAGCACTGACTGGCACTGATAGGCAGCACTGATAGGTGGCACTGATTGGCATTGATAGGTGGCACTGACTGGCACTGATGGGTGACACTGAAAGGCAGCTCAGATGGGCACTGATATGTGGCATGGATGTGCACTGGTAGGCACTAATATGTGGCATTGATGTGGCACTCATGGGCACTGGCACTGTTCAGCACTGACAGCTGGCACTGATGGACACTGACAGGTGGCACTTCTGGGGCCACACTGATCATCAGGGCACACTGATCATCAGTGCCCTGATGATCAGTGTACATGACAGCGTGACAGCTCGTGAGGAGAAAAATACCGATAACTGTCATTTCCCTGTTTCCATGTGATCAGCTGTGATTGAACACAGCTGATCACATGACTGAGCCGAGATCTTCGGCTCTTTCTGTGGATCAGTGATCTGCTATGTCCGAGGGACACAGCACACTGCTGATCGCCACGTATGCGCAGTGAGAATGGAAGGACGTCATATAACGTCCTCCCAGAATGAGAGAACCACCTTGCACCCGTCATTGTACTATATGGCGGGCGGGAGGTGGTTAAAGGCATAGTACTGTACAGGGACATGATTAAAAAAAATTTGTAAATGCATTGAAAACCAATTAATCCGTTCGTATTGCGAAAATGTTTTGTAAACCGAGGCATTATTTTTAATGGATTTTCATTTGTAAACCGAAAATTACGTTAACCGGGGCATTCGTAAACCAAGGTACGCCTGTCCAGGTTTTTCTGTGCTTTTAACAGCATTTTTCTAAGTTGGTGGCAGGGTCTCTTTAAGTAAACTATCTTAGAATTTATATTTCAAAGTCCTGGTACAGCGTTTGCGATCTGTCACACCTGGAGCTTCATTGTTCAAATTCTGCATAGCTGGTCCTGGGGTATGGCTCAGCTAAGCAGCATCACACACAGCCGCAGCCCAGCTATTTTGACAGGTTCCCTTTAGTCGAGGGACTCACTTCCGTGTAAGCCGTCAGATAACTCCACCGTGAAGCCCAGATGTGCACAGATGCTTGTCTGATCTCCACCCGAAACCTGCGATGATTCAGACATCTTCCCATCTGTTCTGCCAAAGTGTTTTGATATTACACTGAAAGAATTGCCCGGAAGGATGTGACAAGTCAGCATTGTAAACAACCGCAGCTAATAAAAGCGCTAATAATAGATCGGCGACTTGTCACAGAAGCAGATGTACGGAGGACAACTGCCCAGACGGCTAGTTGTGCCAGACGTTGATCGTGAAGAATTAAAGTTGATGAGGAATTTCCAAGCCACACTTTGAGGAGAACCGTACTGTTAAACTGAGAGCATCTGCGGGCCTGCTGTGACCAAAGAATATAACGAAGAAAATAAAATACGACTGAGATAAATATTAACTGTTATGTCTAAACGGTTCCAGATTTAACTCCAGGCAAATATAAAACATAAGCAGCTCTGCAATCAATAATACATCATTAAATGTATTTTTTAAATGCCGGCAGTGTGAGTACCAGAATCTGACCTGGTATCAGCCTCTTGCAGTCCCTGTATAGCAGGGCTGGAGGAAGAAGCAGTACAAGGAGCCAATCAGCTCATGTGTTGACAAGAAGCATGCTGAGAGATTGACAGAAGAGTGACAGAGAGATGAGCGTATCACTGTGCTACTTCTCTTTTCACTAGTGGTGAACCAAAATAAAAATTCAGATCCGGAAACCAAAATATCAGTATGCTGAAAACCAAAATGGACAGTTTAAAAAAAAAATTAATTCAATTAATGTGGCTGGCGTTTTTGCATTGAAGTCACTAGGGGGTGTTTTTGCATTGAAGTCAATGGGATGCAACTTTGCAATGAATTCTATGGGACACGATTTTGCATTGAAGTTGCTAGGGGGCATTTTTGCATTGAAGTCAGTGGGACACAATTTTGCATTGAAGTCACTAGGGAGCGGGTACCCTCCCCGGTTCACCTAAAGGTGCCAATCCTTAACGGGGAGCGAGGACCGAGGCCTTAAAGTGGAACTTCCCCTTTTGGGTGGAGCTCTGCTTTAAGTAGATGTATACCCTTACGAAATTACATTTATTTTGATAAAGCACTGTGTGTCATAAACAATTGCCATGTTTAGTAGCTGTTGTGGCATTTTTTCCATTCTTTGTTACATCTCTGTGCTACACAACTCCACAACGGATTCCTATCTATGTGCACTCCATGGTGACAACATACAAGAGCAGTGGGGAAACTGGCAAAAAAAAAGCAGTCCTATAACAAGATACACCTGAATAAGGACCTTCGTAGCAGGATCACCAAGTATCATTTATTGAAAGCTGCAGTTTTAAAAACATTAAAAAGCATTTTGAAACCGCATTAACAAAGAAGATATATATGTGAAAGATTGTATGGTTATGAGAATTTAGTGATAGGGTTTACATCTGCTTTTATAGAGACCTTTTGGCCAATTGCAGATAAAAGCACAGAAAAATCAAGTATTTTAAATGCTTACTTGCAGTGCTTTTCCTTTCCACAAACAATTTTTAATGTCTTCTAACCTGCTAGAAATTGCAACTACTCCAGGAAGTCTCATAGTTAGTCTGGCTGAAAAAAGAAAAAAGTCCATCCAGTTCAACCAAAAAAAAAAAAAAGTTTTAATCCTATACCCACAGTTGATCTAGAGCAGGGGTATTGAATTAAAATTCATGGAGGTCCGGTCACTAAAATTTTCTTCTGGCCGAGGTCCGAATAGGGTGTGCCCATCAGTGTGCCCCCTTACATTAGGTGTAGCCATCAGAAATGCAACTTTACATCATGTATTCCCATCACATCAGGTGTGCCAATCAGAGTGTTCTTTTACATCAGTTGTCCCCATCAGAGTGCCCCTTTACATCAGTTGTCCCCATCAGAGTGCCCCTTTACATCAGTTGTACCAATCAGAGTGCCCCTTTACATCAGCTGTACCCATCAGAGTGCCCCTTTACATCAGCTGTACCCATCAGAGTGCCCCTTTACATCAGGTATCCCCATCACATTGCCACTTTACATCAGGTATTCCCATCAGAGTGCCCCCTTACACTCAAAGTACCCCTTTCTATCATATCTCCCCATCAGAGTGCACCATTACATCATATTCCCCATCAGAGTGCCCCTTTCCATCACATGTGCCCATTTGTGCCCCCTTAACATAAAATGGGCCCGTCAGAGTGCCCCTTAACATAAAATAGGGGGCATGCTGATGGGCACATTTATATTAAGGAGCACTCTGATGGGCACGTTATGTTAAAGGGCACTCTGATGGGCACATTCTATGTTGTGCCCATCAGCGTGCCCCTTAACATTCAATGTGCCCATCAGAGTGCCCCTGTAAGACTACACCCTACCTTGAAACAGACAGGAGCTGTGCCGGGATCTTTGCTGGATGCTTTTGTACAGGCAGGGAGTGGGAGCCGGAGAGGCAGTGAGCTGATGGGGTGGGGCGCATACGTGATGTCATGTTGCCCTGCTCAGTGATGGATCTGTCATTGCAGGCTGGTGGGCTAGCGGTCCAGGCAGCAGTGCTGCTGGGGCCGTTCACGGACCGCAGTCCACCATTTAGTGACCGCTGATCTAGAGGAAGGCAAAAAAACCCAGCAAAGTATGATTTAATTTGCTTCTGCAGGAGAAAAAATTCCTTCCTGATCTCTTGAGAGGCAATCGGATATTCCCTGGATCAACTTTACCTATAAATGTTAATATCCAGTTATATTCTGTGTATCTAAGAAACAATCCAGGCCTTTTTTAAAGCAATCTACGGAGCTGGCCAGAACCAACTCTTGACGGAGTCTGTACCACATTTTCACAGCTCTCACTGTAAAGAAACCTTTCTGTGTTTGGAGATTAAATTTCTTTTCCTCCAGACGTAAAGAGTGCCCCCTTGTCCTCTATGATGACCTCAGGGTGAATAGCTCTACACCGAGTTCACTATATGAACCACTGATGTATTTATACATGTTGATCATATCCCCCCTTAATCTCCTCTTCTCAAGAGAGAATAAATTCAGTTCCTCTAATCTTTCCTCATAGCTGAGCTCCTCCATGCCTCTTATCAGTTTGTTTGTCCTTCTCTGTACTTTCTCCAGTTCCCCAATGTTCTTTTTGTGAATTGGTGCCCAAAACTGAACTGCATATTCCAGATGAAGTCTTACTAATGATTTGTACAGGGGTAAAATGTCAATTCCTTAAATCCCTAGCAGAGCCCCCCTTCTGCTCTGGTCATCTGGAAGTATATAATTATTGTCTGTGCTGGCCCAGCTCCTCCCCTCAACTCAATATAGAAGGTAGAAGTCTGTATTTTATGTATATTTTCTCTCACTGTATAAAAAAAGTACACTCAGAAATGAATTCTATTTGTTAAAAAGTGCTGCCAGGCAGGCTTTGTTTAATTGCAGAGGAGACTGTGTATGTGTCATCTGTCATAGATGCTTCTGCCTACTCGTTAGCACTTTTTCCTGTAAGTATACTCTAATGCAATTCTGTGTCGGGATGAAGTAACTTCTGTGTGACACCATCCTGGCCCAGCCAATCAAGAGGACAAAGACTCCAAACCCAGACGTGAGAAGATGGGAGCCCCAGCCATAGAGGGAAGTGTGGGTATGACAACACCGGAGGGGATCATTTTATTGGGTAAGTCTGTCATAGTCTGTAAATACAGTGAACATACTTGAACATTATAACACATTATAGCAGCATTTTTTCTCTGGCAGTTTATTTCTGCTTCAATGGCTTATAAATAAAAGGGGACAAGCAAAAATCAGAAAGAACCTCAACAATCAGCTCCACTCTCTAAGGAGAAGCAGAAGTGTATATTCCCCACTAAATGTTGGGAAATGTATTAAAATAAAATGCTGCATTCATGGTCTGGCATAATGAATGGTGCCGTCATGCTTCGCAGAGTTCCCTACCTGCTGTGACATTTAAAGTAGCTGTATTCCAATATCATGAGTATTTAACAGACTTCTAATGACAAAGCCTCCAGCACACAGAACAAGGGAGGAGGGGAAAGGTATTACCTCGGACATTTACCGGCAAAGGGTCTCACAGGGCATAAACAGGTGGCGTGCCGAGCTCCGATTATAGAGTAATTACCATACCTGAAGATTGTCAGGGCAGAAGCCAGGTCGAGGGGGGGGGGGGTGAGGCCAGGGCATTGGAGTGGAAACAGGTAGTGGAATTGGCAAAGCGGTTTTTATTTTATCTTGGCAGTACAGTGGTTTGCATTTCTGCCTTCCAGCACTGGGTTCCTGGGTTTGCATCCTGACCAGAACACTATCTGCATGGAGTTTGAATGATCTCCATGTGCTTGTGTGGGTTTCCCCTGTATATTCTAGGTTTCCTCCCACACTCCAAAGACATGCTGGTGGGTTAACTGGCTCCTGTCTAAATTGGCCCTAGTATGTATATGTATGAACGTGAGTTAGGGATCTTAGATTGTAAGCTCCTTGAGAGCAGTGATTTAACCTCTTCTCGACCGCCCTATAGCAGAACTACTGCTTCAGGGCAGAAGGGCTGCACAAAATCACATATATATATATATACATGATTTTGCATTTTTGAGGAGGGGTCATGTGCGTGCCCCACCCGTGCTGTAATTGGCGGACTCAGCTGCCAATTACTGGGTCCCAGCCAGTGATTCCCTGCCGGCACCCAGTGATCACCGAGTATCACTGACAGGGGAGAGGTCTGTATGTAAACAATACAGATTTCTCCCCTGCCAGCTCCAGCATGCTGCTTTGTATTGCTCTGTATACAGGGGCGGACTGACCATTTGGAAACTCGGACACTGCCCGAGGGCCCAGGGTCAGTAGGGGGCCCCATGAGATGCCCCTGGTACCTTTTTCATAGGCTTTTTTGAGTTTGGGCAAGGACACAGGGGCCCCATGATCCTCTATTGCCCAGGGGCCCCATGAGTTGTCAGTCCACCCCTGTCTGTATAGCAGAGCAATACAAAACAGCATGCCTCCCTAGTAAAACACAGCGCACAGTGAAACACACAGCACACAGTTAACCCTTTGATCGCCCCAGATGTTAACCCCTTCCTGCCCAGTGTTATTAGTACAGTGTCAGTGCTTTTTATTATCACTGATCACTGTATTAGTGTCACTGGGGATGTCAGTTCCCCACCAGTGTTACAATGCCCGCCGCAGTCCCGCAGTCTCACATTAAGTCACTGATCGCTGCCATTACTAGTATAAAAAAAAAATTCCAATATATATACTGCCATTTGTAGACGCTATAACTTTCACATAAACCAATTAATTTACACGTATTGGGATTTTTTTTTAGCAAATACATGTAGCAGAATACATTTTGGATTTTTTAAATTTTTTTACTGGACATGTTTTATAGCAAAAAGTCGAAAATATTGTTTTTTTTCTCAAAATTGTCGGTATTTTCTTGTTTATAGCGCAAAAAAATTAAAACGCAGAGATGATCAAATGCCACTGGAGGGCAAGCAGAAATCTGTGAAAAAACTTTTTGGCCCATGCAGTGGGGCTGTGCCGGCACTACACAGGTCAAATGCTCATTTTACTCTAGGGGAGAGGACACTGAAGATATACTGACTTGACCCGCCGATCCTCCCTGCACAAGACCAGTTCTTGCGGCCCCTGCCCCCCCACAGTCCAGCAGTCTTGTAAATGGACTGTTCCTGACATCAGCACACTCAATGTACACTCCATATATAGGAACAGTCTACCGCTGGACTGTGGGGGAGTGTGGTTTTCCATAGGATCGGCGGATCAGATGAGTATGAGCTTAGTCCTCACCCCTTGAAAAAATTAGCAACCGATCCACAGCCCCACTGCATGGTAAAAAAAAGCACATTTGGCCGGAGGTCTGCTTTAATAGAGCTATATAAATGCCTGTTATAAATAAATTTTATTGAAGTGGAACTGTATTCTCCAATACTTTTCAGCCATATAGTACACGGCAAAATTGAAAAAAAAGGTCTTGAAGCCCATACTCATGCCATCCCTTCAGAGCTCTGTGCCCTGGCTGTGACTCCCGTGTGCGTGAGCAGGAGTGACATCATCATGACTCAGCCATTCAAAGGACCAGGGCCCGCGAACCCAGAAGGAAGACTGAGTGAAGATGGAAGCCCTGTTAGCAGTGACAGCGCACCACTGGAGGGCTTTGTTTTGCAGTAAGTATGCCATAATGTGCGAGTATGCAGTGCCTACTAGTGCAATATAACTTAAACCACCAGAGACACTTTTCTTTCTTTTTCTTTTTAAATTACAAAGTTTACTACCACTTTAAAGTGTTTCCAGAGCTGTCCCCTGCAGTACCTCTTCACTACCACAAGATGTCTTCAGAGAAAAAAAGCACAGCTAGGCTGTTGTAAGTACAAGGACAAGGGTAATACAAGTTTCCTAGCCACCAATCAGATCTAAGCCTGCCCTAAACTTTATTTTTATTCCACCTCCTACTTTTTTTTTTTTGCTTTTACGCTATTCCTCTTTTAAAGTTCTTTTAATAGAAAACAGGTATCTTCTCTATCTAAGCGTATGGATGCAACCTCATGGTCTTGACCTTTGGGTTATCTACGGGAGTAAGGAGAAATGTGTATCAAGTACAGGCATACCTCGGTTTACTAATTTAATGCGTTGTTCGGGACATTTCGCATTGCAAAAAATTTGTAAATTGAGACGCGGTTTTCCATAGGAAAGCATTGAAAACCAATTAATTAATTCTAGAGGTCAGAAAAAAGTAAAAAAAAAAAGTCTTTTATCTGTTCAAAACTCTTTATAAAGTGCATTTTAAAGGCATAAATACTGTACAGGGACATGATTTAAAAAAAAATTGTAAATGCATTGAAAACCATTTAATCAGTTCCGGAGGTCAGAAAAAAAAAGTCTTTTATCTGTTCAAAACTCTTTATAAAGTGCACTTTAAAGGCATAGATACTGCACAGGGACATGATTAAAAATTAATTTGTAAGTGCATTGAAAACCAATTAATCCGTTCCGGAGGTCAGAAAAAAGTAAAAAAAAAAGTCTTTTATCTGTTCAAAACTCTTTATAAAGTGCACTTTAAAGGCATAAATACTGTACAGGGACATGATTAAAAAAAATTCATAAAAACATTAAAAATCAATTAATCCGTTACGGAGGTCAGAAAAATGTCAAAGAAGTCTTATCTGTTCAAAACTCTTTCTAAAGTGCACTTTACAGGCATGGGGCCGGCGCTATAAACCTCCCAGGTGCAATGCATGCATCCTGGGCAAACTTGCTTCATATTGCGAAAAAAATTTGTAAACCGAGGAATTTTTTTCAGTGGATTTTCATTCGTAAACCAAGAATTACAGGCGTTGGTAAACTGAGGTACGCCTGTATATATTACCGTATTATCGCTTCTTCATTCTGTTTCATATACTTTTTTTTTTTCCTATAGTGGTCATTAACCAGTAGGTGCTCTACAACGGACACACGACCATATGCCTACCTAGATTGGCAGTACAGCTTCAGGATATCTAGTTGGGGATAAATACAATGATTTTCGAGTTTGGATACTTTGGTGTTCTGTGAATTTGCCTTTTTCTATGCATTTGTAGCATGCTTTATATCAGAATGTTCATATTTTCGCTATGATCTTTTTTTTTTTGTATTTCTCCTTTATATTCTTGAAAACTTGAATAAACAGAGATTAAATAGAAACCTGCCCTAAAAGTCTGAACGCGATTGGTGATGCAATAAGTACCACAGTACTGCCTGCCTACTGAGCCTGTTAGATGGTTTGTGAAAATCTGTCTGCAGTGATCTATAGAGAACCTTAAAGCGGAAATAAACTTCCACATATGACAAAAAAATGGGCCCTCCTCTCAATTTTATGCCATAATGTATGCACAGCATATCAGAACATCAAGAAAGACTTGCCACCATAAGTGTGCGCAGCCTATTGCATTAGGGTATGCATCACAAAGCTCAAACACACATGCGCATTCTGATCTCCCTGTGCGCACATTGTCTCCCTACCTGCAGTTTGAGTCTGGATTCACACATATTCAGTGCGGCAAATCACAAGTGATTCGCAGAGGAACCGCACCGCGCTCCTGTGCAACTCACATGTGAATTCTGTGCGGTGCGATTTGAGGCATACATTTTGCATGGCTCAAATCGCACCACATCTGCACCAGAAAGATGCAGGACCCTTTTTTGGTCCGCACTAGAATCGGATCACATGGGTATTCACACCCATGCGATCTGATTCTGCACATCGCACTGCGTTTTGCGAACCGATTTTGGGGTGTTGTTATCTTAACATACACACCTGCAGCAGTTCGCATGAATGGGGTGCAATTGTGATGCGGCTTGGAATTTGTACAGAAACCACTGTAAATTCCGCACCGCATCAGGCTCAGAGTGAAAGAGAGGAGCTTCCACACTTCTATAAGCAGAGCCGCTCAGTGGGAGATCTTTCCATTGATACGCAGAGCAATAACAGTAATGCACACGGGGTGATTAGGGTGTGCCCAGGAATATCTGGCACACCCTGTGCGCTTGCCAAGTTATTCCCTCCAGCGTTGCCCTGTCAGTGCTCTGAGCTGTCAAGGGTGCTTTCATTTTCTCTTAGCCTTACCTCCAGGTTCAGACTCTTTGGCTGCGTAAGTGGCGGGGTCTCGATGACATCACTTTCAAATATGCACATGGGAGTCACATCACCATGCCACAGAGCAGTGCCCCTAAATGTACGCTGAGCTGTGCATGCGTGGCTCAGTGTACACAAATGCTGACAGGCAGAGAAAGGGTTTTATGACAGAAGAGACCAACAGGGTCCCTTTAGTCATAAACCTGTCAGTGTTTTGTAGGTTTTAATTCTGCTTTAGTTCAGGGTTAATCTTCTGATTAAAGAATAGTAGCTGTGTTTTCTAGATTGTGCTAGAAATAGTATTGAGTAGATTTCTTCCCACTTGTTGTTGTCTATTCTCACAGGAATTGGTGATAACTGTAAGCCGGGGTGCCCCTTCATTTTCATATTTCCACTTCCTGTTGTGTCTCTGGGACAGGAAGTGTAGGGAAATTTCCCAGACATGGACACAGATTGTGATAAAAACTCCTTGACCCCCCGGTCACATCAAACCCTACTTTGAAATCGTGCGACATGCAGTGAAGTCGCACGATTTCAAAGTCGGATCACATGGCGATATCAGGTGCAATTTGGAAGACATCTGATGCATGTACTACTTTAGAAATTGGAACCGCACCGACATGACCGCTCTAATTGGGGACAATAGGCTGCGATTTGCAAGTCGCATGGCATGATAATCGCATGCCAATTCGCATCCAGTGTGACTGGGGGCTTACTGCTCTGTCCAAAACCAGAAACAGAGTTCTCCTTTAATCAGGCATTGCCATGCACATTCTGCTGAGTCAAGCACGCGTGTTTATGCACAATTCTGTTGTCTTCCGGCAGTCAGTGCCGCAAGTCTGACAGCCTTTTAATGTCTATGGCCAGATTTATAATAGCGGAAAGTTCATCGTAATGTCACCATCAGTTGCTAAGGGAAGATTATCTACAAAAACAAACAGAGATTAACAGGCAACACTGCATCCCCAAAACACTTCAAATCAGCTGAAAATGATGATAGATGAACAGCCAAAAACACGCAGAGCTGGCCATTAGATGGAGCAAGAAAGGAACATTCTGCGGAGCCTGGGGTGTTCCGTTCAACAGCAACCTCAAAGTCAAACAGAAAGATCAAGAATGCAATCCAGCAACCACTGCAAAAGTGCTAAAGTCTGAAAATCCAACAGCAAACATTTACCATATTGCTTAGGCCAGAGAGTCGAAACATACATGGGTATTTTTCGTCCCAAAATGGGACCTAAGAATAATTGGCTGATTTTCGTTCTGTTAGTGGGTCAATGGCACTGGATGATTTTTGTGGTTCCTCCCCTTTTCTGTGATCGGCATGTTGGAAAATTTGTGAAAAACGACTGATTTTCAACTCAATGATGGTAGAATCATACAATCATTTTTCCGAAAAGAATATGCACATGAGCTGTGACCTGGAAGGAAAGATGTTTCGCATGTTATATGGGGTGAACTTTATAACTTGGTCAGCCGATTTTCGAAATCAATGATGGCACCAACGGATTACCGAGCGAACGGCGTTTCCGATTTTAAGACGAAAAATTGTTCGGAATTCGAACCATGTATGGCCTGCATTAGTTTTGTCTTACCATGCCTTAGACCTGACAACTGCATTAGTTTTCTTTTTAGGCTGTCTTTCTTCTATTTTCTTCTGGTAATCCAACCAGTAAGTCTGTTGTTTTTTTTAGCCACAAAGCTCTTCAGCAAAATGTATCAGTCACAGAGATGAGGCAAACCATTTAACCCTGGCAGGGATTGCAATGGTCAGCTTGTATTTATTTATGTAAAACCTTTATCCTATAAGGAAAGACACTGTTTGCTGTACCTGCTTATACTGGAAGTAGTGTTAGCTGGAGTTTGGCTTCAGTTTGTTAGTGTATTTAAAGTGTTACTAAACCCGGACTCTGCATTCACTATATCTGGTCTCCCACAGTACACACAACATGGAAACGTAATTATTGTAGTAAATATAAACTAAATACATTTTCTCATCAGCAGTTAGAGCAGTCTTGTGACTTCAGCAGAGCACTGGTTAAACCTTGTAGGAGGAGTTTTCTTTCTGCTCTAGGAAGATGCAAAACCCCTGACCCTCTGTCTGGAGAGTGCTGATTGGCTGATCACATGCCCTCTCCCAAGGAAAAAAACCAAAACCTCTCTAGCAATACACACTCAACTGGGCATGTGCAGAATGGCTACGGGCTCAGTCTGTCAGGGGAATATTTGAACAAGAGGAGGGCAGAGAAGTCAGGATCAAACAGCCTTTTTAAATGCAGTGGATGAACCCCTTAGGTTCCACAGTGAGTATAACAAGCATGCTCTACTGCATATACAGACTGATTTTCCTGTTGTGGGTTTAGTACCACTTTAAACCCACTATATCTAACTCTACACGCCCCCCAGACTGACAATGCTGCTATCCAAATGTGCCCCCTGTGCTCCTTCATCCAGTGTGGGGGTACTCTAATACAGGAGGTGTGTTAATGGCCAGATCAGTAAGTGAAAACAGAGGAAAAAAAAACTAAAAAGAAAACTAATGCAGCTACCACATTTAAAGATTGGTAAACTGCAATATGCTATATTTTTGGATTTGGGTTTAAACCACCTTAAGGGCTCAGGTGTACAATATGGATTGGTAATTAATTTGGATTTGAATGCATCAGTATTGTATGCTATGGCTCCATTCACATTGCTCTAGGTTTGCTCTGCAGCATTTAGCTACCCAAACCAAAATATGGTCCATTTTTGACCTTTTACATTGTTTACATTGTGCAAACATCTACTAGTGTACTGTGAAAATGGACCAGACATGTATGTGCCACCGTTTCTGCCTAGCGAATTCAAGGCCAAGATGTAAACAATGTGCAGTCAGCGGCGGTAATGCAGAATGACCTCAGAGATCATGCAGAGACGTACTGTAAATTCAGAGTTTATACAGCAGCAACCCATGCACAGAATGATTTGTAATTGATAAGTGCTTGTATGTCCATATGCTTCCATTGCTTATGATCACCAACCTGGCTGTACTCCATTAGTGGGCTGTTTAAACCTCAGGACTGACTGGACCAAATTACAAATCTACTCCCAAGACTGAGATGACGGTTTGAAGATGACACAATCTTGTAAATCCTGGTATCTATGCTGACTTCCTTAGCTGTACTCACAAATGTCTGACACAGATCTGCCCCTGCAACAACATTTTCAGTTGTATCAAATTAGGCAGATCCTTGCACTACATAGTTGAAGGTAAATCTAAAAGAAATTGGGCAGAAATTGGACAGAAAATTGTATAGTGTGTGGCAGGGGCGGACTGACCATTTGGAAACTCGGGCACTGCCCGAGGGCCCGGGGTCAGTAGGGGGCCCCATGAGATGCCCATGGTACCTTTTTCATAGGCTTTTTTGAGTTCGGGCAAGGAAACAGGGACCCTATGATCCCCTATTGCCCGGGGGCCCCATGAGTTGTCAGTCCACCCCTGGTGTGTGGCCAGCTTTACATGCTGGGGAATTTACTGGCTTTAGGAAAAACGCTAAAAGCCAAAAACAGCAGCTGTAAAAACGTCCAGTGTGCATGAGACCCTCATGCACACGGGACGTTTTGATAACGCTGGTAACATTAGCTGTGTAAAGTCACCTTAAAAATGTGAGTTTTTTTAGCTTTTTTTTAGCGTTTTTGCATACCGTTTAGCAGAGTTTTGGCATGTTTAGTGTTTTCACCCCGTTTTTCTGCGTTTGCGTTATTCAGTGTTTTTTTTACTGAAAATAAATTGGGGGGGGTCAAAAAAACCATCCCAAAGCGACGGTTTGCGGCATTTTATTGAGTTTTGGTGCGTTTTTCAGCGTTAGAGCATTTTTACAGCTAAAAAACTCCTCTAGGAACCCACTAGTCCTGGATTTTTTCTCCAGCCAAAAAACGTCCCTGCCAAAAAACGTTGATTCCAGTCTATGTGTGCATGGACACATAGGATAACATGCTGGGAGGTTTACTGGCTGTAGAAAAAAAACATCAAAAGCCAAAAACAGCCGCTGTAAAAACGTCCCGTGTGCATGAGGACTTAAGACTCATAAATGAAGAGAAAAGTTAAATTTAAACACTACAGAAGTGGAAAATATTCGATTCATCCCTGACAAGGAAGCAGCAAAACAATATCAATACATAATGAATTTCTGCCCTCACTTGATAGTATTGTTTAGTATACAATAAAGATAGTATAGTACTAGGAGCTCTGAGGATCCGGCACACACTGAATGACAGGGACAATATATTACTTGTTTACAGTGAATTCCTTTAAGTGACAGGGAGGCAACCTGCGGGGGAAGGGATTGAAAACCTGTGTGTGTTTTAAAGAGATCCCTTAATGAAAGAAATACATGAGCTGTCATTGCTGACCACCTTAAATATTTCATTTATATAGTGCCATCAATTTACGCAGCACTTTACATATTGAACATTCATAACAGTCCCTCCCGTCAAGGGGTGTACAATCTAAGGTCCCTAACTCACATTCGTACATACACATACTAAGGACAATTTAGAGAGCAGCCAATTAACCTACCAGCATGTCTTTGGAGAATGGGAGGAAACCCGTGCAGGCACAGGGAGAACATACAATCTCCAGGCAGGTGGTGCCATGGTTGGGAAAACCAACAACCCTAGTGCTGTCAGCTGGAAGTGCTAACCATTAGGCCACTGTGCACCTTCTGAAGATGCTAGTCACCTGGCCATCTCTGACTTCAAAACTTCCTGAGTCATTGACCAAATGTGTCTCTGTGATTGTCCTTAACTGGTGCTGCACTTGTGGTGTACATGTGGTGTCACTGTATAAGCAGCAATATATGGAGGATGTGCATTAAAGATAGTGATAACTACTAGGGTCGTTGGTTCAAATCCCAACCACGGCACCACCTGCCTGGAGTTTGCATGTTCTCCCTGTGCCTGCGTGGGTTTCCTCCGGGTACTCCAGTTTCCTTCCACACTCCAAAGACATGCTGTTAGTTTCATTGGATCCTGTCTAAATTGGCCCTAGTATGTGTATGTATGGATGTAAGCTAGGGACCTTAGATTGGACACCCTTTGAGGGTTAGGGATAGATGTCAATGTACAATATATGTATGTAAAGCGCTGCGTAAATTGACGGCACTATATAAGTACATGAAATAAATAAATAAGGAATTTCATCTCACAGTCTAGATGGCAAGACCATTATATCGGAATGGGGGGGGTGACCCATATTCCTGGTTTTAGTAGCCATTACAGAACACAAGTTCCTGGATCTGCACACCTGTGATGATGGGTTACCACCATCCCTGCATTGAGTTCCCATCTCTGCACACCCGCTGTACCCATTATGAGGGGCTCCCACCATTCCTGCATTGAGTTCCCATCTCTGCACACCCGCTGTACCCATTATGAGGGCTCCCACCATCCCTGCATTGAGTTCCCATCTCTGCACACCCGCTGTACCCATTATGAGGGGCTCCCACCATCCCCGCATTGAGTTCCCATCTCTGCACACCTGCTGTACCCATTATGAGTGGCTCCCACCATCCCCACATTGAGTTCCTTTCTCTGAACACCTGCTGTGCACATTATGAGGGGTTCCCACCAACCGTGTACTGACTTCCTTGGTCTGGACATCTGCTTTATCCATTATGAGCTGTCATTCCTGTAATCAGTTCCTAGGCCTACACATCTGCTTTATTCATTATGAGCAGTTCCCACCATCCCTGTGCTGAATTCTTGTATCTGCAAACCGGTGGTGACCATTATGAGGAGCTCTCACAGACTTGTACTGAGTTGCAAGGTCTGCACAACTGCCGTGTGCCATTATAAGGAGCTCACACCATCCCTGCACTGAGTTACCAGCTCTGCACATCTGCTGTGCCCATTATCAGTGGCTCCCCACCAATTTGAGCAGGCTTCCTGTTTCGGGTAGCTAATTTCTCTTGCCGCATCCTATGGAATCAACCTTGCATGCAGAGACTAGAGTTGTGTTTCCTTACACTGTGTATATCAATGGAAACACACTGCCCTGTACTCTAGGATAGCAAGGCACTTCCCTTCTCCTCCTTCTCCTTCTTCCCTGCTCCAAGCTCACAGACTTACTGGAGAATGCATTGTCCACTGAAAGTGGAAGTAAAGGCTATATATACGGTAAGTCTGCTTAAAAACATTACTTCCCTCTCCTCCTACCAATGGTGTATACTGCTGGTAAAAAAGATGAGTGTAAATACATCTTTGAGTCTCCTCCAGTGTGGTCACATGATACACAGGCTCCAGCTCCCCTGTGTCATGTGATGTCACTCAACAGCTTCCACTGCCCATCCATTGTTGCCGCTTCTCCCATATAGCAGCAGCTGCTCTATGACACAGGGGAGCTGCATCAAGTGACTGGACTGGAGCAGATTGAAAAAAATATATTTCTACACATCTTTTTTACCAGCAGTATACATTATAGGTAGGAAGAGGGAGAATTAAGTGTTTTTAAGCAGACATAAATGTAGCCTTTACTTCCAATTCAACTCTATCCTGTGAAGAAAGGAAGTTCAGGGAAGCAGCACTGAAACCATGAGCCACCAGCACTGAAAGTTGTAAACTGCAAGTGCTGATGTAAGAAATTTAACAAATTTAAGTTTATTGGAGAATGTTTATTTTTTTGCAATCAATGTGTTGAACTAAAAAAACGAATAAATAAAAGTAATGCTAATTTAGTCAAGTCTAAACCTTACATTTGATAGATCACAAGACCCATGCCATTCCTTGCCACATGTCATCCTCCAGCTGTTGCAGATTGGAAGCAGATAGTGTCATTTTAAAAGGCTGCAGTTTTTTTGAACGTTTGGTGAAATACCAAATAATCCAAACAAGGTAGGCATATGTCTACATTACACAGCATGACATCATCAACGTATCATCAGTGTTAATACACTGCAAGACCTCCTTCTCCTGCAGTCCAGAAGATATCTGGTGGGATTTTATTATTTCTCTGATTCTTTATGCAAAGCAGCCTCAGTAGTACAGGATCTGCCTTATTAATCCTGGGTATTAATCATGGGACAATTTCCTCTGCTGTGTTCAGAGCTTCCTGTGATTTCATACTTGAGTGAATAGGATGTATGGCTCCGATGGTAGCATACAGTACATTATCTCCGGAGGCTCCTGAGTCACTTCAACGCAGTGATGTCTATATAGGATATCTGCATGGACAAACGCCCATTCCATATTGTTAAATAGTTCAAAGATGAATGAAATCCAGAAGGACTGATAGCATTGTTTCCTGTATTTGCAGCTCTACAAATTCTAAAAACGATTAAAAGATTATCTGGCCAACGACCATTTCTTGTGCAGTCATCACACTTCCAGATACTTCTCTACTTCGAACATGCTCATTTAGAAAATGTGGAAGTGCAAAAAGGAGACTTCACCAATACTATTGATCTATCAGCCTTATTTTTTTGGACTATTTCAAAATGACTGTATATTTCCATGTGAGCTCCGGGATCTATACCCGTACATTGGGCGATTGAGTGAAATCCTTTGGAACAGATTTGTCTACAGGCTCCCTCATCTTCCTATGAGTGCCACATGTTCTTTCTGTTTACTGATGGACCTTTCTTTACCTGCTGATTTAATGATACCTGGGGTTTTGTTCTGCTTTCTTTTAGATCATTGGTAACGTAAAGGGAACAATTAAAAAGCAATATCTGTGCTTTGTCCATTCAGGGCAAAGGAACTCATTTACTTTAATAATCCCAGTATGTGTACCTTTCTTTGGCTTCCCCTGCCCCTCCATTCACTGCTGTGCGCAAAAGGAAATATGTGGTACTTCTAAGTATGGAGAAACTAATTTCAAGTGACTTGTTAGGCCAATCAGGGTTGTCACATGGGTGGTCTATTGCGTAGTGTAAATAACAATTGCAGCTACTTTCAGCCGAAGATAATCTCAGACTGAACCCAGAAGGAAGTCGTTACATCTGCCCACTGCTACCACACCTACTGCCGCTAGGGCATTCCATGCACTGCACATCATAAAGGGGCAGGGATGCTTATGATATAATTTACCAAATATATTCATTTGCCCATATTAGGACAGTGATGTAGACCTATAATGGCCATGAGTCCATATACAGCGGGGCAAAAAAGTATTTAGTCAGCCACCAATTGTGCAAATTCTCCCACTTAAAAAGATGAGAGAGGCCTGTAATTGGCATCATAGGTAGACCTCAACTATGAGAGACAAAATGAGAAAAAAAATCCAGACAATCACATTAGCTGATTTGGAAAGAATTTATTTGCAAATTATGGTGGAAAATAAGTATTTGGTCAATATCAAAAGTTCATCTCAATGCTTTGTTATATATCCTTTGTTGGCAATGACAGAGGTCAAACGTTTCCTGTAAGTCTTCACAAGGTTGGCACATACTGTTGCTGGTATGTTGGCCCATTCCTCCATGCAGATCTCCTCTAGAGCAGTGATGTTTTGGGGCTGTCGTTGGGCAACACGTACTTTAAACTCCCTCCAATGGTTTTCTATGGGGTTGAGATCTGGAGACTGGCTAGGCCACTCCAGGACCTTGAAATGCTTCTTACGAAGCCACTCCTTTGTTGCCCGGGCGTATGTTTGGGATCATTGTCATGTTGGAAGACCCAGCCACGTTTCATCTTCAATGCCCTTGCTGATGGAAGGAGGTTTGCACTCAAAATCTCACGATACATGGCCCCATTCATTCTGTCCTGTACATGGATCAGTCATCCTGGTCCCTTTGCGGAGAAACAGCCCCAAAGCATGATGTTGCCACCCCCATGCTTCACAGTAGGTATGGTGTTCTTTGGATGCAACTCGGCATTCTCTCTCCTCCAAACACGACGAGTTGTGTTTCTACCAAACAGTTCTATTTTGGTTTCATCTGACCATATGACATTCTCCCAATCCTCTTCTGGATCATCCAAATGTTCTCTAGCAAACTTCAGACGGGCCCGGACATGTACTGGCTTAAGCAGGGGGACACGTCTGGCACTGCAGGATCTGAGTCCCTGGCGGCGTAGTGTGTTACGGATGGTAGCTTTTGTTACGTTGGTCCCAGCTCTCTGCAGGTCATTCACTAGGTCACCCCGTGTGGTCCTGGGATTTTTGCTCACCGTTCTTGTGATCATTTTGACCCCACGGGGTGAGATCTTGCGTGGAGCCCCAGATCGAGGGAGATTATCAGTGGTTTTGTATGTCTTCCATTTTCTAATTATTGCTCCCACAGTTGATTTGTTCACACCAAGCTACTTGCTTATTGCAGATTCAGTCTTCCCAGCCTGGTGCAGGTCTACAATTTTGTTTCTGGTGTCCTTCGACAGCTCTTTGTCTTCACCATAGTGGAGTTTGGAGTGTGACTGTTTGAGGTTGTGGACAGGTGTCTTTTATACCGATAACAAGTTCAAACAGGTGCCATTGATACAGGTAATGAGTGCAGGACAGAGGAGCCTCTTAAAGAAGAAGGTACAGGTCTGCGAGAGCAAGAAATCATGCTTGTTTGTAGGTGACCAAATACTTATTTTCAACCATAATTTGCAAATAAATTCTTTCCAAATCAGCCAATGTGATTGTCTGGATTTTTTTTCTCATTTTGTCTTTCATAGTTGAGGTCTACCTATGATGCCAATTACAGGCCTCTCTCATCTTTTTAAGTGGGAGAACTTGCACAATTGGTGGCTGACTAAATACTTTTTTGCCCCACTGTACATGTCCCTTTGAGTACATGCAGCTATGGGGCAGGGAATGTCCGGACGCAGTTGATTGGGAGGCAGTGAACAGAAGTAAAAACTTCCTCCTGGGTTTGGGCCAAACCCAGGTATGGACCAAATCCAAACTCATCCTTATTTGTGTAGCACCCTTCTAGTTAAGGTTTGGGATACTAGGAACATTTAATTTAGCTCCTCTGTAGCCAGTGGAGCAGTGGTTGATAGCCTTAGTCTGCTCAGTATTTCACATGCTGCTGGTCTGATTATTTCACCCTTCATTGGGTTCTAGAATCACCATAGGAGAAAAGATAGAAGAACATTCTGAATATTTATGGGGATCCAGCCAATCCCAGTAAGTGGCTGGAAAGCCCTTAAACAGTCCGAGGCCTGGAGCGGAAAAGAGAAGATGTTGGGTCCAGTCCTGTGAGAGCAGTGCCCAGCGTAAGGGGGGCTCTGCCAGTAAGGGCAACCTGCTGGAACGTCATTTGAGGGTCAATGAGGTCCCAGCTGTAGCATAGCTGAGGTACCTGTTCTAAAGTCCGGTCTAGGATTTTGGTCTGAAAAGCTGACTGCAGAGTACCCAGTGAAGTTGGGGGAAGGTGTCCAGCTGTCCTGTGGTATTGTGAGTTGTGATTCTCCCTCACTAAAGAGTGCCCGGTGGATATTAGAAGGAGGCAACTGATGATCCTGTGGCATTGTGAGTACTGACCTGAATCCAGAGCAACTCAAGTAACACTCTATGTTCCCCTTCACAAAAAAGGTTAGGCAAGAAGGAGAAAGGAGAAGTGGAGGAGCCGGGCCAGCAAAGAAAGTAATTAGATACTCCCAGAGCAAATGGAGGACTATAACAAGGAGTGTGGGGAGGGGGGGGGGGCATGCTAGGGAATAGACTCTTCCTGAAGTAGTCAACTTTTTAAATAGGCTGTTAAAGCAAATGAATACAAAAGTATTTACGGAAGTGAAAAATGCTGCAAGTAAGCATGTAAAATACCTTATTTTTCTATGTTTTTACTTCCAATTTTTAAAGTGTTACTCAACTCCCCCCACCCGCCCCAATGTTTTTTTTTCACACTTAACTGTAGTGTTCTTCAAAACACATACTCACCTACACAGCAAATCATACGTTGTTCCTCTGCAATCCGCTCTTCGAGTGCCGCAAAGCGGTCCTGTGCCGCCATCTTGGTCCTCTTCAGCTGGCTGCCTATCCCAGTTTTAGGTAGCTAACTCCAATGATGCACTGGACTGGCCCACCCTCTGAACTGTCCCCATCCGCTCTGTGTGCCTAATCTGTAGCCGCCTGGAAGATGTGATCCCAGGAGGCTGCAGGACCAAATAAAAAAATAAAACCAACAAAAATGCCACAATTTTGCTTACAGTGGGGAGTATAGTTCTGCTTTAAGTTTGGGTCTCTTTTACTTTCCAGCTTTTACAAAAAACTGAAATATCAGTTGTGGGTAGCCTGTCCCTTTTACAGAGTTGATTTTTTTTTTTTGTCCTGTCTTAGGTTATTATTCATAAATTTAACTGAAAGGTCTTTAAATCAACTTGAGTTTTCCATGTGACAGCAGCAGCATAAACATCATTTATCTATTACTGAACCCTGCAGAGATCTGGATCTCCTATGTAGCAAGCGGTATGGTAAGTATGGAGAGCTGACGTAATCAGGGACTCCCAGAGACAATTTTGCTCACATCTCATCCATAATTCAGAATATTTTGTACAACAAATGTAAAAATGAAAGCCTGACAGAAGAAAGTCCATATAGAAAGATCAGGTAAATGGACGTTCCATGTTTCATATGCCTCTCTGATAGAACATACAGGGTGCGATCTTTCATGTGAAATGGAAAATCTTTTTGTAACCAGTTAAGCTCCAGAACTAATTTCACCTTTCAGTTTTAGGCCTATTGATGTGGCAATAACTGTGGCAAACCTTTTTTCTTCTGATACAAAAATGGTGTATATGTAATTTTAAGGGACTAACATTGCTTTTTTTTTTTAGTATTGTCTTCTAGGAGTTAATTTTCTCAATATTTTACCACCTGTCATCCTCAGTCCCTATATCAAACTTCCTTGGCACAATGTCCCTTGCTGTGTGTATGTTAATAAATGTCTCCAATGGGAACTAGCTCCCAAAACCCACAATGGTAATTCTGTGAATGACAATTTCTGTATCTGACAGTCGCTTTTTCAGATATAGCAGACGGGAGCCAATCAGCATGGTCCAGCTCACATTATTATTCTAACAACAAATCATAGTTATCACATGGACTCTTTTTTATTCCCATGGGCGGATGGAGCAACGAAGAAGTGAAAGCCCAAATGAACTTTCTAAATCAGCTAAATACATCAAAACAAAGGTATACAAAGTTGAATGTCTTTAGAAAGGAGCCGCAGTCTGAATAGAAAAGCCTGTGCCCTGCCAGTATGCTGCAGAGTTTGATGCCTTTAGAAAGGAGCCACAGTTTGAGTAGAAAAGCCTATGTCCTGCCAGCATGCTGCAGAGAAGGACCTTTACTCTCTACTTGGAAGCAGTGGTCTCTCTGCATATGTCTGATACATCTCCTGCTGTGTCAGAGCTTGATTTTTGCTGGTTGGGCAGTTCTAAGGCTCACCATACATGCTACAATCTGACCATACTATCTCAGTACAACCAACTTTAGACCAAATCTAAGTATTATGAAGACCTACCTGAACAATTCAATCAATTTAAATCTGACCAAGCAGGTTCTTGCACTATATAGTTGTTGGTGGATCTAAAGGAAATAGCAAATCAGATTGCAATGTGTATGGTGACCTTAAAGGGGAGCTCCACCCAAAAGGGAAGTTCCGCTCTAAAGACTGGTCCCCTGCTCCCCATTAAGGATTGGCACCTTTGGGGAGCGGGTACCCAAAATTGCCTAGAGCCTAAGCGATTGGAAGCAAAAGTTGTCCTCCTACCCTCCCTCCCTGTAGTCTTGTGGGACACATGACAGGTCCCAGAAGACTACGGGGCCATTCAGGAAGCGCAACGCTACTCGCGCATGCGCAGTGGGCACCTGGCTGTGAGGCCGCAATCTGTCACAGCCAGGTGCCCACACTGAAGATGGTGGCGCCTGGAACACCAGACGGCTGGTGAAAGGGGCTGTGGGAAGGACACCGCGGGATCGTGGGACAGGTCAGTGGCTGTTTTTTAAGTCAGCAGCTACAGTTTTTGTAGCTGCTGACTTTTATTTTTTTTTTACAGTGTGAGTGGAACTCCACTTTTAGGTAGAACTATAAACAAAACTTTTTTTTTTCATTTTGGATAGAGTAAGGGAGGGTTACAATCAGATTGTGTACCCCATTGGGGAGATTTCCCTTCATTTCCTATCCTATAGTATTCTGACTCTAACTGTTGTTTTAGTGACTTATCCCTTGCTGATACCTCTATGCCTGGTCTGTATAAGCTGATACAATCAACGTGGGCAGTCTTTATCAGATGGCTGAACTCACCAAACACCTGTTTTCTCCACAAAATCTTAATATATGCAGCAGGTTAACAGCAGACAACAGATGCGGCAGATGATTTAAAATACAATATTTGCAGGTCAAAGCATGGTAATGTGTACCCGGATGCAAGCTGATTACTTGTGGCCCACAGACAAGTGGCCATATTCATCCCAAGAAGAAGTGAAGAAGGAAGAGGAAATGTATCACTAGCTAGTGGGAGGGGACAGGATGAAAGACAGAAAAGAAAGTGGGAGGAAATCCCTGCAAATTAAGGGAATCCCTTGGGGACCCCAAGGTCACCAGAACTAGATTTCCCCTATATTACTTTTCTGGGGACAATCCAAAATTTGGGATTTTCTTTCACTTTCAATGATAAGACAAATTGAGAAGGTGAATCACCCTAACAGGGGCACAGCCTGCAATAAAAACTGACAGAGGTTCTAATCCCTCTCCACCCTTTCCAAAAAATAAAAAAAAGTTTTGCATTTAGTTATACTTTACCTTTGGATTTGAAGGGGGTGTGGCACCTTTTGGGGGGGAGAAGGGAGGGGGGGGGGCAGGTACCTGGTTTTGACAGGTTCCCACTCCCACTTCCGGCTGAGTTCGAACTGAGTCAGAAGTCCGGCACCCCCACAGCCCTCTGGGAAGCTTCCAAGGTCCCAGAGGACTGCAGCCCATTCACAAAGAGCAGTGCACTTTGCACATGTGCAGTAGGAAACCGGTGGTGAAGCTGTATGGCTTTACTACCAGTTTCCCTTAGTTAAGATGGCGGCGCCAGCACCAGAGAGACGATTGAAGAAGGGTGAGGACACCGCTCGATGCCTGGACAGGTAAGTGCCCTACTATTAAAAGTCAGCAGCCACAGTATTGGTAGCTGCTGACTTTAAATAATTTTTTTGGGAGGTTGCACTCCAAAAGCCCAACTCCAAGCAACTATTAAATTATCCTGTGCAGTGGTGCTGCACCCACACTTCAAGGATTAATAGCTCAGTTTGTCTAGGGAAAGAGGAGAAGCAGTTTTACTTACATGATCCTCTGCTAACCTGACAGGCGGAACTCCCCCATGATCTAGCAGTGGACTGTTCCTTGGTGTCCTCATGTCCAATGCAAGGCTATGGACCCTGCTCTAGTCTCGATGATGTTAGGATCCTAGACCGGTGAAGCGTGTGGGTGCAAAAGTAGGGACCAGTCTAGCTGCAGGGAGAAGCTGAAAATCAGGTTTGTAAATCTCTTTTTATCGTTCCCCAGACTTAAATGAGCATTTACCCCTTGCAGTGTAGCACAGCCCCGCTGCAATGAATAATTTTTAGTCAGTCAGAGTTAGGCTTAAAGAGAAATAGCTATACGCAGCTGAGAAATCCAGCATTAAAGTGAACCTGTTGACATTCAGTATATGTAAACCCAATTATTAAAATCTTGTATAAGGCCCCATGTACACGGGATGTTTCTTAACGATGGAAACTGACTGCTGGAAAATGTAGTTAAAAAACGTCTGTTTAGCCGCGTTTATGCACGTTTGCATCTAGAAGCGTTTTTTAAAAATAAGCACAGGAGAACCTCCCAAATGCCCAGAATGCACTGAAAAGTGGTAAATTATTAAGTATTTCAGACTGTTTCAGAGAAATACAGAGAGTAGAAGCAGAGACAGCAGTATGTGTTGAGATAATTAGGTGTGAGTTGCTCATTAACATTTCTTTTGTTTCCAAGGGTGGGAAGGTGTCTGGTGGAGTGAGTATGTCTCATGGTCTTCATGAGGCATTTGAGGTGTGAATAGACATTAACATATCTTTTGTTTCCAAGGGTGGGAGAGGTCTGAGGTGTGAATTGGTCATTACAATATGTGACAAGCTTGGTAGGAACATCCTGTGTTCAGTGTTTTGTCCATCTGAACACCTTGCAAACTTTGCATGCATTTTCATGATGAAAAAAGGCTCTGGACAGTATTGGGAACTTGAAGAGTTATAGAAAAAATTTCAAATGCAAACGGTTATAAATGCGGTTTGCCGCGTTTACAAACTCTTTGCATTTGAAACGCTGATAAAATTGACGTCTGATCGCAAGTTTGTTGCGTTCAAAAAAACGACTGTAAACTCAAATGCCTGTAAACGAAGATGTGTACATGGACACATAGGAAAACATTAGGGTGAGTTCAGGGGCTGCTGAAAAAAAACGCTGAACAGCTCCTAAACGTGAATTTATCAGCTGCAGTGTACAAGAGCCCTTAGATGTAACTTGTTGATTTCATTTAAAAAACTGTTTTCAATAATCTGCAGCTTTCATTTAAAGAATCCCTGGTGATTCTTCCATGTAGGTATGTTTTCAGGCACTTCCTGCTGTAGGGTGACAACTCCCAATTGAGCTCCAGAGTTGTCGTTCTGTCACAGGCACCCCTGGGGACCACAAGTGGCTGTCCTGGCACACTTTGCTCAGGCATGGTCCATTCTTTTCACTATCAGGAAGCTGCTCCAGAACCCTTGGAGAAAGTACAACTAGAGAGAAAGAAGTAAATTTACTAAAACTGGTGCACTCAGAACCTGGTGCAGCTGTACATAGTAGCCAATCAGCATCTAACTTCAGCTTGTTCAATTAATCTTTGCCAATAAAACCCGGAAGCTGATTGGTTTCTATGCAGAGCTACACTAGATTTTGCACTCTTCAGTTTTAGTAAATAACTCCCAAAATGATTGAAAGAGGCTGGATGAGATCAGCATGCGTCACTGCTGAAAAAAGGTGAAAATATTAATTTTAACCTCTTCCTGTCCGGCCCATCAACATAAATAGCCGGATGGGAGCAGCGCTGATGCGATTGGTCGTTTCTAAACGTCCCCCAGCATCCACCTCCTGTGCACGTTTCCTGGGAGAATGCAGTGGCACGATCTGTGCCTGTTGTGTCCACCAGACACAGTGGAACATGGATCTGCTGTACCAGGACGCTGTGGGTGGCCTCAGTAACATGTGAATGCTGATTGACCAATCAGCGATCACATGCACAGACCTTTCCTGGCATAATTGTTTACTACTGTGGGCTATGTGATTGATCACAGAGATCACATGGTACAAGGTCATTCACAGCAGTCTTCTACCATGTGATTAGCTGTGACAAATCACAGCTCTCACATCATTTCTTAATGGCAGCAGGAATGCAGCCAGAGGGAGTGAGAAATTATTGCTTTTACAGCCAACATTGGTGTAAAAGCAATCACAGAGTAAAAAAAAAAAACAAAATCCTGATCACCCCCCGCAAGTAGTACTGTGTCGCTATGATCACACTGTACTGATAGGGTGACGGTATATCAAAAAATTAATACATACATAAATAATAAATGTAAAAAAAAAATGTTTAATTATATTTTATTCTATATACTGATTTGGGTTATTTTCTTTTCTGAAAATTTTCATTCTTTCTTCATTTATATATAGCAAAAAACAAACAAATCAGATACTTCCAAAAGAAACCTATATTTGTGTGAAAAAAAAATGATAAAAATTCCATATGGTTACAGTGTTGCATGACCGCGCATTTGTCATTCAAAGTGCTACAGCGCTGAAAGCTGAAAATTGGCCTGGACTAGAAGGGGGTGAAAGTGTCCACACTTGTGGTTAAGCAGAAAAATCTATGGTCATTGTTGATAATACACAGCTTTAGACAGTTGAATGTCACCCAATTAAGATTTAGATCTACTTTAAGAATCCCATACTCACCCTGGGCCCTATATTACTTGTCCCACCCCATGTCAGGACTTCCAGCATGTTTGCACGTATACTCTATGAATGCATAAATCCCATAGAGGCTGAATATTTTCCCTGTAATTGGATCAGGCATGCTAGTAAAACATTCTATTCTATACCTGTAATAATACAAATGGTGCGCGGCCCATAAACAGAACATAAATAATGGCTTGCAAGGTGACGGTCTAGTTCAATGTGACATTGAGGTGGATGTGTTGGGCCCGATCCTACACAGGAAGAACTTGTGCTCAGCACGTGGGCGGTCGGCAACTCACAAGCTTTATGCTGAGCATTAAACTGGTGAATCAAAAACCCGATGAACCTTCACACCGTGGTTTTGAAAAGTTTCCACTGGAAAACAGATGGTGGCTTCTCGCAGGTCTGGCTTGACAAGTTCACAGCAGGTAAAAATACCCGACATAGCACTGATTACTATCTATGTTAGTCCTTCCTTTTTATGAACTGTACAAAAAATGTGGTCTGTAGCTGCATATACTACAACCAACCTGTTTCCTACAATAGCCAATAACCTGAAAGGACAAGTTGCATTCTATTCAGACCTGCTTTTGAAGGCCGATGTCGCTCAGGCTCTGCCTCGCAATTTGCGAGTTGTAAGCCAGCCACGTGAGCCCCTTTAGTTAGTTGTTTGCCTGCCTATTTGATAGACCTGATAGACTGCCCAATGGCCAACTGAAGGAGCTTGCACATTAGGCTGACAACGTTGCTGTTAATTGCAAGGCAGTGGCTTAAAGTGGAGCTCCACCCAAAAGACTGCTCCCCCCGCTCCCCGTTAAGGGTTGGCACCTTTGGGGGGCGGGGGGGAGCGGGTACCCGAATTTGACAGGTACCCGCTCCCACTTCCGGTGGTCCGATCGGAAGGTGTCCTCCCTCCCTGTAGTCTTTTGGGACACGTGACAGGTCCCAGAAGACTACAGGACCATTCATGAAGCGCAGCGCTACTTGCGCACGGTCAGTGGGTACCCGGCTGTGAAACCGCAAGCTGCAAAGCCGGGTGCCCACACTGAAGACGCCGACCTCCTGGAATACAGGATGGCCGGTGAAACAGGCTGCAGGGGACACACCACGGGACCGAGGGACAGGTGAGTGGCTGTTTTTTAAAAGTCAGCAGCTACAGTTTTTGTAGCTGCTGACTTTTATTTTTTGACAGGGTGAGTGGAACTCCACTTTAAGGTTGTCACCCTGCTGTTACTGACAGGATCACCAGTTAAAGCGGAGTTCCACTCACACTGTCAAAAAATAAAAGTTCAGCAGCTACAAAAACTGTAGCTGCTGACTTTTAAAAAACAGCCACTCACCGGTCCCTAGGTCCTGTGCTGTCCTCCCCACAGCCCGTTTCATCAGCCTTGTGGTGTTCCAGGCGCCGCCATCTTCAGTGAGGGGCACCCGGCTGCGACAGCTTGCGGTTTCACAACCGGGTATCCACTGCGCATGCACGAGCAGCGCTGCACTTCCTGAACGGCCCCGTCATCTTCTGGGACCTGTCACGTGTCCCAGAAGACTACAGGGAGGAAGGGTAGGAGGATAAGTTCCGCTTCTAACCGCCTAGGCCCTAGGCGATCACAGCGGAAGTGGGAGTGGGTACCTGTCAATTCGGGTACCCGCTCCCCAAAAGTGCCAATCCTTAATAATGGGGAGCGGGGGGGGGACCAGTCTTTAAAGCGGAACTTCCCCTTTTGGGTGGAGCTCCACTTTAAGAAGCTTTGAAACAGATTTAAAAAAAAAACTATTTGCTTAAAAAAATTGTACAATGTGGCATGATACCAAACATACTGAGAAATAGATTTTGGGTACACACACTTGAGTTGATTATAGCCGTATTCATGCACTTGCGACGACAGAAACAATTGAGTACTTTTACTTTTTTTTAAATACTAATAAAACCAATAAAAGCTAATTGACAGTGTACAGAATTGTCATGCATCCTAACATTCCTACACCACTTGCCCTCAAGAGGATTTACCCCCCTTCCTGACAAGGCCATTTTTTGCGATACGGAACTGCATTATTTTAACTGACAATTACACGGTCATACAACGTTGCACCCAAATGAAATTTACATCCTTTTTCCCCACGAACAGAGCTTTCTTTTGGTGTTATTTGATCGCCTATGTGAATTTTATTTTTTGCGCTATAAACAAAAAAAGACCAACAGTTTTGAGAAAATAGCAATATTTTTGACTTTTTGCTATTATTTAAAAAAAAAAAAAAAAAATTTAAATAAAAAATCCCAATACGTGTAAATTACTTGGTTTACATGAAAGTTATTGCGTTTACAAATGGCGGTATAAAAACTGGAATTTTTTTTTTTACTAGTAATGGTGGCAATCAGTGACTTATAGCAGGACTGCGCTGGGCATTATGACACTGGGGGGAACTAACTTGGTGTCACTGACATCCCCAGTGACACCAATACAGCGATCAGTGCTAATAAAAAGCAGTGACACTGTACTAATGGCACTGGGCAGGAAGGGGTTAACATCTGGGGTGATCAAGGGTTTACTGTGTGCTGTGTGTGTTTCACATTATGTGCTGTGTGTGTGCTTCACTGTAAGCACACTGCTTTGTATGGCTCTGCTAAGCAGAGCCATACAAAGCAGTGTGCAGGAGCTGACAGGGGAGAGATCTGTGTTGTTTATACACAGGTCTCTCCCCCGTCGGTAATACTCAGTGATCACCGGGTGTCAGCGAGTAATCACCAACTGGAACCCGGTCATTGACAGCAGAGGCCGCGAATGGCGGCACGGGTAGGGTGCGTGCACTGCTCATGCGCGCCTCCTACCCGGAAATGCAAAGTCACACATATATATATATATATATATATATATATATATATATACACACACACACACATGATTTTGTGCACCTCTGCTGCCCTGTACCAGTATCTCTGCTATAGAGCGGAGGGGAAGAGGTTAAGCACAGTATAAAAAAATGGCAAGAACTATTACACTAAAATGCATGAGATCAGACAGAATCAGCCATGTGCATGCTGGGAAAATCCTCTGATACAGCCATGGTCCTTCAACTCACAACCAGCATGTGATACTAATTAACAAGCATTTAATATTCTTATGTTCATGAATAGTTACCTCTGTTTAGAATAGAGAACTACACAGTTAGAACAATGGCCTATTAATAAACAGGGGTGAAAAAAAGGGACCAATCGGATTGATTTACTTTGCCAAGGAATAAAAAAGATTCAAGCACAAAAGCGGATTATAAGCATACGTTTATTTGTTCTCAAATAACAAAGTATAGCTAATAATAAGCAGGGAAATATAACAAGTTCTTCTCCACATATGCTCCTATACAAAAAAATATGGAGTAAGGCTGAGCAACTTCAGAAGGTATCTAGTCACACTATTTATAGTCCCGTTTGGGGAAATAATAATTATCCTGATTTAGTTGGCTTCAATACAGTGGCAGGTGGAAGGGATATGGTATTACCACTTAAAGCGGTAACCAAAAATGTAATATATTGCAGCTTACCAATCATTAGATGTGGTGGCTGCATCAGGCTTTTTTCCCTCTGTTTTCACATGGCGATTTTGCAAGTAACACCCAGGACCTCCCTCCCCCAGACTGACAATGCTGCTGTCCAAAGGTGCCCCCTGTGCTCCTTCATCCAGAGTGGGGGCACTCTAATACACAGCACCCCCACTCTGGATGAAGGAGCACAGGGGGTACCTTTGGACAGCAGCGTTGCCAGTGAAGGAGGGAAGTGTTAGATGTACTAGCATATCTAAATACACTAACAAACTGAAGCCAAATTCCAGCTAATACATTATAATCAGTTACAGAAAACATTTGTTTTCCTTTTAGAATAAAGGTTTTACATGAATAAATAAAAACTAATTATTGTAAGCACCCCTGTCAGTGGTAAATGGTTTGTTTCAACCCTGTACACTGATACATTTTGCAAGAGAGCTTGTTGTGTTAAAAAACAAAAGCATGCAGCCAACATATCTAAGAATTGGTACATTGCAATATAATAAATGTGTGATTTTGGGTGTATTGTGACTTTATGGCACATTTTTTTGCATGGCGCTTTAAAGTGTTACTAAACCCACAACAGTAAAATCAGTCTGTATATGCAATAAAGCATGCTTGTTATACTCACTGTGGAACCTAAGGGGTTAATCCTCTGCATTGTGTAAAAAGGATGTTTGATCCTTTCTTCTCTGATCCTCCCCTTCTTCGATAGTCCCCTATCCATCTGCTGATAGAACAGAGCCTTGGGGGAAAGCTGCTCAGTTTTGTGTATATTGCTAGAGATATTTTTTTTTTTTCTTGGGAGGGTGACTGCAGCCTTATAGGACAATCAGGGGAGAATGAAAACTCCTCCTACAAGCTTTAACCAATGCTCTGCTGGACATTGATAGAAGATCACAATACTGCTCTAACTGCTGATAAGAAAAGGCACCCCTGTCAATGGGAAATTATTTGTTTCAACACTCTTAACTGATACACTTGTAGAACTTGATCTAGACTTACTGGTTTAAATCACCTGATGAAAATAAAGCCTAAAAAAGAAAACTAATGCAGCCATCACATCTATGAATTGGTAAGCTGCAATATAAAATAGGTTTGCTTTTGGGTTTAATGCCACTTTAACCTTTTGCAAAACACCACAACTTCCAAGGGGTTTATACCTAGGTGCTACGCCATGTTACTGACTACTTTTCTAGAAGAAAATGTATGATGGGTCCTTGAGGAGGAACAGTGGGAGGAAGCCATGCAGGCAGTACAGGTCTTACAAAACTGTATATGACTTTATGGGTTCATTATACTCCACTGAAATTATTCAATCTGGGTGTATCAAATGACTCTTTGTGCAGTAGATGTCGAACATCACAGAGACGTATTATTGTGGAGATGTCCCAAACTGCATGTTTACTGGATGGGGGTTATCAACTCCCTTAACTACTTGCCCTCCAGAGGAATTACCCCCCTTCCTGACCAGGCCAGTTTTGGCGATACGGCGCTGCGTTATTTTAACTGACAATTGCACGGTCATGCAATGCTGTACCCAAATTAAATTTATTTCCTTTCTTCCCCACAAATAAAGCTTTATTTTGGTGGTATTTGGTTGCCTGTGCGGTTTTTATTTTTTGCACTATAAACAAAAAAAGAACGACAATTATGAAAAAAACATTATTTTTGACTTTTTGCTATAAAACATGTCCAGTAAAAAAAATGTCGAATATAAATTTAGGCCAAAATGTATTTTGCTACATGTCTTTGCTGAAGAAAATCCCAATACATGTAAATGAATTGGTTTATGTGAAAGTTATAGTGTCTACAAATGGCGGTATATATACTGGAATTTTTTTTTCCTAGTAATGGCGGCGATCAGTGACTTATAGTGGGACTGCGGGACTGTGGCGGGCATTCTGACTCTGGGGAGACTCTGGGGATGTCAGTGACACCAATATAGTGATCAGTGCTAATAAAAAGCATTGACACTGTACTAATGACACTGGGCAGGAAGGGGTTAACACAGGGGTGGGCAAACTTTTTGACTTGAGGGCCGCAATGGGTTCATATATTGGACCCGGGGGCCGGACCAAGAGTAGATGAATGATGTGTATGTGTGAATTAATATAAATTAAATTACCTTTGCTCCGCGCGTTCCTCTCGCCGTGTTCCCGCGCCGTTCCGGTCTTCAGGGCGGACTGTGAGAGGAGCCTAGCTCCTCTCACGTTCGTCACGCTGCCCCCCGCCTACACACATCCTGACTGGCCAATCATTGCATTTGAGCGCGCTGAATGATGCAAATGTTTGCCTGCCCTGGCTGTTTTTTTTTGTATCACGCTCCGCGGGCCGGATTAAAAAGGTCCGCCGGGCCGTATACGGCCCGCGGGCCAAAGTTTGCCCATTGCTGGGTTAACATCTGGGGCGATCAAAGGGTTAACTGTGTGCTTTCTGTGTTTTACAGTGTGCTGTGCGTTACTGTGTAAGCACGCTGCTTTGTATTGCTCTGCTATGCAGAGCAATACAAAGGAGCATGCTGGCGCTGACAGGGGAGAGATCTCTATTGTTTACATACAGACCTTTCCCCTGTCAGTGTTCCTTGGCGATCGCCGGGTGCCAGCAGGGAATCACTGGCAGGGACCTGGTGATTGACAGCTGAAGTGGCGCCCTTGGAAATACAAAATATATGTGATTTTGCGCAGCCCTGCCGCCCTGTAGCAGTAGTTCTGCTATAGGGCGGTTGGGAAGCGGTTAATAAGGTGTTTCTGGTCATGATCTGGGAAGACCCAAACAAGGTTTATTGGGATTCTCCCTGATCTCCAGGTACTGGAGTTTTCTAGGCAAGTGATTGCAAGGGCAGTATTTCAGGCACATAAGCTAATTTTATTGCATTGGAAGTCTGAGGACCCACCTACGCACAGAATGTGTAAAACATATCGCAGGTAACCTTAGGTTAGAAATATGTATTTACCAGCACTGGGGTTGTCTGGACAAATTTTAAAAAATCCTGGGCTCAATGGTTGGATACTCCTGGGTGAGAGAAGCTGTAAACCTCTTATATGAAATATGAACAAAACACATCCCTCTATAGTGTGTACTTGTCTCAATCCTGAGCACTAGGTGTCATTTCTGTCTGCTGCTTTGTTCCTCTGCTATCTGTATGAGTCACTTTTTACAAGTTTTCCAGACAGCAAGAGGTAAAAGGGTGACAGGCGAGGGAGCTCCAGCACACAGCCTGTGACTGACAGTCTGAGCTCTGTTCCTGTGTTCTGTGTGAAAGGGATGGGTGCCTTTGCTCCAGTCAGCTTTCCCTGAGCTCCACAAAGTGTAACTTCATCTCTCCACCCCCTGCGTACTAAAAGCTCAAACAAGCTGTATAAATTCTGCACTTTAAACGGATGTAGAGAAGAAAAGACTGCAGATTGACAGGTAGAACTTTTGTAGGAGAATTTGTTTCATCTCTGTGTATCACCTGTGGCCAATCCTTCACTAAGTATATGTAAGGGTTAACAACCACTTTAAGTCTGATTGATTTAGTTTTAGGCAGACTTCCTTATTTTGCATAGGCAATGTTGGAATATACATATTTGTATTTACCAATGCGATATTACTAAGTATATAGTATTTGTTTGGCTATTCTTTTGTGTACTGTACCACTAAGGGGTTAAATACATTGTTGAAACAATGTTGGAGGCATTACACTCTTTCCCATTTTCTGAATGCCGTTTACGCAATGCTCTAAAAATGTGTTTTCTTTCATGAAACCTGACAAACAAAAATACACTATATATATATACACATACATACACACACAGCATATATATATATATATATATATTTTTAAAGTGCTGAGCAAACTGTTGGTGTTATATAAATCCTGTATAACAATAATATATATATATATGTGTGTGTGTGTATATACTGTATATACACACACAGTATATATGTGTGTATATATATATATATATATATATATATACACACACAGTATATATATATATATATATATATAATATATATATATATATATATATATATATAGCATTGATTTGAATTATAACTCTTGCTGAATAGCTATAGGAATACAAAAAGGTTTATTATTTGTAATTTTTGCTGATTGATACCACATCATAGTCTATATAAACTGAAACCGGGGCCACTCTCACAGCATCATGAGTTGAATTTTTCCTTCTTGTTCAGACTTGCTTAGTTCTAGCATGCTGATAAGGAGACATTCTTTATCAGGTTTTTCAATGGGGGTTCTGCTTGAGGTCCCCAGAGGTTCCACTGCTGCTGCATCTGATTTATATCCGCCCAATGGTGGATTTACTTCCAACTGTAGCCACCACTTAATTACTACCACCGCTGTGCTGCCTGGGGGTCTGGATGGAAGAACAGTTCCTTTTTTTTTTAATAGAAATGCCAATTTTTTTTTTAGAAAATTATTTTTATTTATATATAAACAGTGTGTCAGGTCCACTTATAGTAAAACGTGGGCTTACTTGCTCTTCAGGATACCTATGTGCAGAAAATGAGAAGCAATGTCATAGCTGACCTCAGCAGGCACCTGTAAAATATGTCACTTGTGACTGCTATTCGGCATGGGGTCAAACTAAGCATATGACACTGATATGGAGAGCAGGTTATAACTAGATGCACCTTTAATCTGAGCCATCTCCCCCTCCCCCCATCCTATGGAAAGGGGCCAGCTGCTCTAAAAATGTCTACAGCATCTAAAAGGTTCGCCTTCCCACCATGACAACTTAAAGTATATATAAAGCCCTATCTCTTATACAGGACAATGTTTCAAAACTTGTGACTTCTGCAAGATCTCTGGTGTATGCTGTAACTCCACCATTTCAGCCTGGAGATTATAATGCCACCAGTCCAGCAGTGGTTGTCCTGCATGTTTGACAGTCACATATAATATTCTCGACGTGAGTCACGAGTGGACTTGTTGCAATACCAGGTTTCACCAACAGATGGCTTTATGAAAGGTGTGGGAGAGATGGGGGTGTTCAGGAAGTTTGGAATCCTCCCTGTTATTATATGGCATGATCAAGAATTGATTGAATATTTCTGAATCCTGGGAATGCTCATAATTTTTTTTCTTGCTTGTTCAACCATAAAAAGGTTGATCCTCCTCACCGGTTTCCCTTATCGCACCATAATTAGAGGCCATGCAGAACCTGGTACTGTTCCAGGCTGTAGACGATAACATCTGGCTCTCCTAATGTACAGTAAGTCAGGCTTCTTCACATTTTAATTGAAAGTTATGTTTTCCTGCAGGTCATACACCCTGCACAACACACACCTGGTTATATGCTAGCCGAACGAGGGATGCCAGCATGGCTGACGTGTATATAGGGGAAATTAAAGTATTACCAAACCCAGGACCCTGCATTCACTATATCTGCTCTCCCACATTACACACAACATGGAAATGCAATTATTTTAGTAAATATAAACTGCTAAATACCTTTCCTCATCAGCAGTTAGAACAATCTTGTGACTTCTGTCAGTGTCCAGTTGAGCACTGGTTGAAGTTTGTAGGAGGGGTTGCCATTTTTCTCTAGGAGGATGCAGAACCCCTGACCTCTGTCTGGACAGTGCTGATTGGCCTTGTGCTTATCACATGCACCTTCTCAAGAAAAAAAACACACCAAACTGAGCATGTGCAGAGCGACTCTACAGATATTTCTTATCTGAGATAAGAGGGGGACACTTGAAGAAGGGGAGTCAGAGAAGACAGGATCAAATGGCATTTTTACACGGTGCAGAGGATTAACCCCTTAGGTTCCACAGAGTATAACAAACATGCATGTACAGACTGATTTTACTGCTGTGGGTTTAGTAACACTTTAAATCCCTATTCATTACCTGTTGAGATACAAACTCCTACACAGGGGAGGACTGGCAATTCATGGGGCCCCCGGGCAATAGGGGATCATGGGGCCCCTGTGTCCTTGCCCACACTCAAAGCACACCCAAAAAAGCCTATAAAAAAGGTACCAGGGGCATTTCATGGGGCCCCCTACTGACCCTGGGCCCTCGGGCAGTGCCCGAGTGCTCTAACGGTCAGTCCGCCCCTGCTCCTACATTGAAAATACATTGTTCTCAATCAGTCAGGCCTGTCTAGTAGACTTGCACTGAGGGGAAGGAGTAGTATGGCAAAGTCACTGTGCAGCAGAGACCACATACAAAACCCATAATGTAGGTATGCAATTGCAAATGAAATACTGAAGTAAGGTTTTAAATCATTAATATGCATGGGTAAGACTGTTTATATTAAATTGGAACTCCAGGTCAATATCTTCAAACACAGATAAAATACATATAAGAGCCCCTTTTGCCCTTGTGAAGGAACTTGGATGGAAATCAGAAGCATCTTAAATTGAAGCTGAATGCCTATTAAATCATACTGTATGTGCTAATCTACCCAAATCCTTAAAGAGGATCTTCAGTGGCTCCAAGAAAAATGGACATTCTATGTTTCATATGCCTCTCTGATAGATAGAGAACATAGAGGGTGAGGTCCTTCGTGTGCAATGGAAAATCTTTGTTAATCCTCTACATTGTGTAAAAAGGCTGTTTGATCCTGCACAGAGCTCTAGGAAGCACTCCGAATAGGCTCAGTTTGGTGTGTATTGCTAGAAAGTTTTTCTTTTCTTTGGGAGGGTGCATGTGATCAGCACAGGGCCAATCTGCACTGTCCAGACAGAGGGTCAGGGGCAGCCACAAATGACAGAGGAGAATGAAAACTCCTCCTACAAGCTTTAACCAGTACTCTGCTGGACACTGATAGAAGTCACAAGACTACTATATACTGCTGATGAGAAAAGATATTCAGCAGTTTATATTTACTACAATAATTGCATTTCCATGTTGTGTTTATTGTGGGAGACCAATTATAGTGAATGCAGGGTCCTGGGTTTAGTAACACTTTAAAAGTCAGCACCTATAAATACTGTAGCTGCTGACTTTTAATATAAAGACACTTACCTGTCCAGGGATACAGAGCTGTCCTTACCCTGGCCGGTTTCTTCACCAGTCTTCTGGTCCCTGGCCTCAGTATCTTTACTATGGGAAGTTGCCTGTGAGCTCTAGTGGCTCCACAGCCGGCTCCCACTGTGCATGTGTGAGCCGTGCTGTGCTTTGTGAATGGTCCTGCAGCTTGCTGGGACCGGTGACGTGTCCCATAAAGCTGTGGGGAAAGAGGGGGGGACTTCTGTTTGGATCACCTGGGCGATCTGTCAAAAATCAGGTACTGCTCCCCAAAAACAAAAATGTGTGTCCAAGATGTTGGAGAGGACAGAAGAAATAGGCAGAAAAACAGAACTTCCCCTTTTGGGTGAAGTCCTGCTTTTCAGTGATTACAAATGTTTGTTTTTTGTTTTTGTAATTGTAAACAGGGTTATACTCACCCGCTCTGTGAAATTGAATTGCACAGAGTGGCCCTGAACCTCCTTTTCTAGAGCCCCGCTGGTGTTCCTAGTTCCTCCCCTCCACCAAGTGCCCCCATAGAAAGCTGCTTTCTAGGGTGGCACTCGTGCAGGCTTGCTCCCAAGCCTCACTGTCTGCGTCTACTGACAAAGACAGCGGGACTGGGCCCTGCCCCCCCACTTCCTCGTCACTACCTCTGATTGACAGCAGCGGGAATCAATGGCTTCTGTTGCCTCAGCAAGGTCCTAGAGACCAGGAAGTGAGGGGAGAGAAGAGCTGCAGACAGGCACATCGCTGGTTCGAATGCGGGCTCAGGTAAGTAAAAAGGGGGTTGGGGGGGATACTGATGTCTAAACATTTTACTGCAAGGAATGCATTAAGGTATAAAATATTTAGTGGTAAAAGAAAGTTCAGCGCTATAATGAATGACATATAAAAGAAAAATTGCAGCGCTATGGTGCAGCGCTATAGTATAAACATATAAATGGTGACTTAGGTTCAGGAGTAGATTTTATCAGCGTTTCAAATGCCAAACGCGTGTAAACATGTGTAAACACGGCTAACTGCGTTTATAAGCGCTTGGAAAATGTTTTTAACTCTTCCATTTCCAGATGCTGTCCAGAGCCTTTTTTGCATCATGAAAAAATGCATGCAAAGCATTTTCCCGGGACTCAAATGGACCTGGTACACCATACTTCACATGAAAGAAAATATGTTAGACACTGCTGCAATAATTTCTGCACAGAAATGAGCTGGAACACATCCAAACACCACAAAATAAAAAAAAAAAAAACAGCTAATCTCAACACATACTGCTCTCTCTGCTTCTGCTCTATTTCTCTCAAAATGTCTTAAATTGTTAATTTCTTACTGTTTTTCAGTGCATTCTGGGCATTTTGGAAGGAGTGTTCGGTTTGTTGGCGGCTTTGTTGCTGATTGCGGCGACCTGTAGAGGTGAAACTTGCACAGAACCTTCCATTGTCCCGTCCTACTATACTACCTCTGATGCAGTTATATCGTCTGAAGTGGTTTTCATTGTAGAGATCTCTCTGACTTGCTCTAACGGGGCACAGAATGTTGCACTTTATGCAGATGTGAATGGAAAGCAGTTCCCAGTCACCAGAGGCCAAGACATTGGCAAATATCAGATGGAAAAATGCATATGGGCTAATTGAGGATAACGGATATCCACGTTTTCACAATCTGTAAAGGAGGAATTCCATCTAAGCAGGTTCCATAGGAGGTGAACCACAAGTGTGTATAGCCTAATTGCAGGCTAAGAAGGAGGTGAGCATACATCTTCACTAATTAAGGATTCAAAGAAAGTCACGGATTCACAATAAGTCACCAAATCAAGATTTAATCAAGCACAAAGTCACTGAATTTAAAGGACATTTATATCACTAATTAATTTGCAGATCATATATATATATATGTTTTAAGTTATTTATATATTTTTTTGAATATTTACTAATCATGATGCATATTGATTTATTTATAGATATGTTATAGTACACATTATTTTATCACTTATTGTTTCTGGGGATACTATTTCCACATATATTAGTGGAAAATATATATGATTTTTTAGCAATATATATTTTTTATTTCTTGCACAATCACTGAACTATATATTTGTTTACCAAGGGTAAATAGAGTTATTTACATCACAGATATTTTCACTGGGAGCGCAACACAATATGAATTATTAACATTTTGGAAGGTCTCCTGAGGTTATCTTTTAAAAAACGCTTCTAAATGCAAACACTTATAAACGCGCATAAACCTGGTATGCAAACGCGGCTAAACAGACGTTTTTTAACCTACGTTTTCCAGCAGTCAGTTTCCATCTTTCAGAAGTGTTTTCCAAACATCCCGTGTACATGAGCCTTATCCACCGCCAGGTATAAGCAAAGGAAATGCACAGCTCTCATGCACCAGAGACAGGAGATTCTCCCAACAGATCGCTCAATCCTCAGCAATAAAACTTGCCTCACCTTGAAGGGAACAGCTCACAAACAAAGCCCAGAGAAAGAAAGCGCTTATGGTGCAGTATTTTTATTAAGTATATGAAAGCATCCACATGGAGCAATAAAACAGGGTAATCCACTTACAAAGATGGCTGCCGGACCATCATATGGATGCGGCGTCACGTGACGTCAGTACGTAGGCTCCTCCCTAAGTGCACAGTCTATCTGCCTTTAGTAAATCAACCCCATTGACTCACTGGATCCCTCTTTGCATTGGCAGCTAAATGCCTCGGAGAGCAGCAGTGTCACATTTTCATGTGCAAAAAAAAAAGGCGTATAGAACAAATGAGCTTAACGTTCTTCAAACATTTGAATTTTTCGAAGCCTGGAGTATAAAGCATAGACTGAATCTATTTTTACCACGAAACCCATATACCTTAGAGATGTCAGTAATTAAAGGGATGAGTTGGCTGCACGGGGTCCCAATGACCCTTGCTACAAGCCAGTCATTTGTACTTGTTCCAAAGCCCGCAGCCAGCCGTGGGAGAGTAGGAACAATTATCATTCTTACAGAAGATGAAGTATCCCCCACATAGCAAAGCCTTCAGAGCACAAGTTCACCTTTAGAAGATTTTCCTCCTGTAATGCATGCTGAGCGTTTCTTATCTTTTCAGGTATATCCAATTATCCATCTTTTTCTCTTATGTGTCTTATGTCTTTGGGGCCCCTCCTGCTTCACATTTTGCTGCTTGCCATGGGCGAGCTATACGTTCTGGAAACCCCTTTTTACACCAAAGAGAACAGGGGCTGGGAACAGAGCTCATTAATATGAAGATGCCCATACTAAAATATTTTAGACACTTGCAGCTTTAGGAGATGGTGTTCAGGCAAGCTTTAAGGCTCCTTTAACATGGGCAGCCAGAGGACAGTAAAAACAGGCAGTTGTTCCGCATTTTTACTGACCCTCAAACGCCAACCTACAAGTGGATGTACACAAAAATAAAAAGTGTTGTGCAACTATTAAACATAAAATGCAAAAATACAACTCATGCATTAATGTTCTTAAAGTGGAGCTCCACCCAAAAGGGGAAGTTCCGCTTTAAGGACTGCTCCCCCGCTCCCCATTAAGGATTGGCACCTTTGGGGGGTGGGGGGGAGCTGGTACCCGAATTTGACAGGTACCCACTCCCATTTCCAGTCCACTGCATAGGCGATCGGAAGCAGAAGGTGTCCTCCCTCCCTCCCTGTAGTCTTTTAGGACACGTGACAGGTCCCAGAAGTCTATAGGACCATTTATGAAGTGCAGCGCTACTCGCGCATGCGCAGTGGATACCTGGCTGTGAAGCCGCACAGCCGGGTGCCCATACTGAAGATGCCAGCCTTCTGAAATACAGGACAGCCAGTGAAACAGGCTGCTGCGGGGGGACACACCGCAGGACCGAGGGACAGGTAAGTGGCTGCTTTTTAAAAGTCAGTAGCTACAGTTTTTGTAGCTGCTGACTTTCATTTTTTGACAGGATAAGTGAAATTCCGCTTTAATACAAACGCCAGGTTCACACCTATGCAGTTTGCATTTGATCCATTTCTGCAGTGCATTTTGCATTTTTGCACATGCGCTTTTGACGCGTTTTGCTTTTTTTTTTCTTTTTCTTGTTGCTAGGCAATTTTAAAATGCAAAACACAGCAAAAACATGGCAAAAACGCACTACATGCTTTTCTGCAGCATTTCCTTTGAAGTGTATAGAACCAAAAACGCAAATGTTTGCATTTAT